AAACCCCAAACCCTAAACCCTAAACCCTAAACCCAAAATCCTAAACCCTAAACCCTAGACCCTAAACCCTAAGTCCTAAACCCTAAACCCTAAACCCAAAATCCCCAAAAGCATGGAAAGCCTCGGGTGTCACGGCATTGCTCAGCGCTGGTGGCTCTCCGCAGGGCCCAGGGGTGCCTTATTTTTTTACTGGCTTAGGGTTTAGGGTTTAGGGTTTTGGGTTTAGGGTTTTGGGTTTAGGGTTTATTATGGCTATAATAAGGGCTGACTATTGCCCTAATAGGGTCTTATTATGGCTATAATAAGGGCTTAATTTTTCTTTCTACCGATAGCCGTATTTCTGTATAATCATTAAGATGCTTGTTCTCAACTTATAGCCGCTGCTGGTTTCACGATGTTAGTGGCTCTTGTAACCACTGTTGCTTCTGCTTACTCCACTCTGAACATCAACTATACCGTCACGAATGCTAATTAACGTGCCAGGTCTTTGAATCACAATGCCATGGTGCTCACTAACTCTAGGGCTTTCGTTTCTGGAGTGGGGGTTGGCGATTAAGACTTCGAGGAATGCCTGATGTAGGTTTTCAAGAAGTTGGTGCTTCGCTGCAAGCTGCTGCAGGGTGTAGGGTTTGAAGCAGGCTTAGGTAGCGTATCTTGAGGGAAGCTCGCCCTAGTTGGGAGTTGGGGTTGTGAATTGATACGCTGGGCAGTCCATCCCCGTCAGCCAATGACCCCTATACTGACCCGGTCGTTCTCAGCTTCGGCGTGGCGTAAGGTCCTTCAACCGTAATCCTGACTTCAACCCAGACTTCGATACTTGGGGTATGATTTTGAGGCTCTGTTGGCAAAGGCGTCTTGAATCTCTGGGTGAAATCGATCCCAGGCACAGCGAAATATTCATTACAATAGAATCACAAGAATCTCACTGACTGGTCCCTATACACCGTACCCAAGGCCCAAACCTCTTGTGTCTTGCGAAATTCCCAAGTGTCTTAACCCCCGATACCGACGGCATTTCTGCTGACCAAACGACAGTCTGGCGCAGCAGCACCAGGGATGGGTGTCCACTGCCTGACTAGGTGGGAACTCAAACCCGACTAAGGGTAGAACCAGGAAGCCACACTTACGCGAGCATCGCCGAAATGATCTTCAAAGACCTTCATACATTGCAAGCCATAAACCGCAGACCTCACACTGTGTCCGCCTGGGTATTGTTGCAATCGTGCACCATTGCAGCACTCAAACACATCTGAAGCAGTACGTAGAAGTATCTCCGGAAGCAAGGACTTCCAACTAACAAACCAGCCGAACCCCATTAGGGTTTAGGGTTTAGGGCCCACAATGACTGAAACCTGAAACCCTAAACCCTAAGCCAGAAGGACGAGCAGGAGCGGCCCATTCTCTGAGCATTGATATCCACTTTGGCTCAAGTAGCCCGCTGGACAGGCCAGCGGACCTTGACGAGGACTTCAGATCTCTGATGGATTTGGGCAACACAGCGTAGAGTTTCGGGGTCTATCTAGTTTTTCCGCATGACTTTTGGGGATTGCAGTAAAAGAAGCAGTGCAGGGTTTCGGAAAGTGGGGTAAAGGGCCACTGGTCGGTTCAAGATGCCTTTGTACCAGGCTTCTGGGCGCTGCGCAGGACTGCACCCTCGATATATAAGGGGTCCCAACACTTACCTATATTATTGTTGGGGTTCCTTATTATAATGATACTATACAGGGCCCCCCCAAAATAAGGCCCTTATATTTAGCTCTTGGGCGTCCTTATTACTTGAAGAGGTCTGGGAGGTGGCCTCGGGCAGTGAACCTTAAGCCCCCAGCCCTGACAACCCTGAGATCCTAGACCGGAAATCCTAAACAAAAGACCCCACAACTGAAACCCAGTGCCTCTGATTTCCTAGTTTCGGGCTCCCGGGTTTTGGACTTTGGGGTTCTGGGCTGCGTGTTAGGGTTTGGGATTTCGGCATTGTTAGCTGCGTGAAGTTGTTCTGGCGCTGGTTTGGCTGCCGTCGATACCCTGCACGTAGCATGGCGGTGATTTTGGCTAAGTTCATGGGGCTGTATTGTTCCCCTTGTTACTGCTATTTCAGGAAGTGTATAGTTCGTGTGGTCACTGTACACATCATGTTTCCTTGCATAGCTCTTCTGAGCTAGTCATTGCTTGATATTATGACCACATCCTCTGCTGAACGCCCTAGTCCCAAAACCATATGATACCTTCCCGACACAACCAAATGCTGAAATCATCCCAAACCGTACATCTCAAGCCCTCAGTTAACCGGCAAACTCTGAACCCCAAAACGTGAAACTCCACATCCTAAGCCTAATTAGCCAACACAAACCCTGAACTCTAAACTCTTAAACCCTAAACCCCAAACCCTGAACTCTGAACTCCTAAACCCTAAACCCCAAACCCTGAACTCTAAACTCTTAAACCCTAAACCCCAAACCCTGAACTCTAAACTCCTAAACCCTAAACCCTGAACTCTAAACTCTTAAACACACAGAACCGTCAAGCCGCTAGACCTACCCTAAACCCTAAACCTTAGACCCTTAGACCCTTCAGCCAAGGGCCACACAGGTCGAGCCGACGGCGCGGTCCACGCACTCAGTCGCATAGCCTTCAGGGCTTACGGTTTAGGGTTTAGGGTTTATAGGGTTTAGGGTTAAGGGTTTATAGGGTTTAGGGTTTAGGGTTTAGGCTTACCCTAACCCCCCAAGTACCTACTATATAGGGCCTTAGGGGCTCTAGTACCCTATATAGTAGGTACCTGGGGGTCTAGGGTTAGGTGGGCTTATGAAACCCTAAACTCTAAACCTTTAAACCCTAACCCTAACTTTATGAACCCTAAACCCTCCAGCTTAGGGCTTATAGGGGCTTATAGGGTTGAGGGTTCCAGGTTTCAGGGGCTGAAGGCTTACAGCTTCGGGCTCCAGAATTTACAGAGGCTCGGGGGCTTCACTAAAGAACTACTTTGGGGCCCGGCGGAACTTGAGATTTTCGCATAAATAACAACTCTGGGGTGTGGCGAAACTTGAGATTTCAATGCTTCCTTGGGCTGATGGGTGAAGTCTCTTTTCATGTTCGGGCCTGCCTTGGGGTTCCTATATATGGGTGGTTGTCAACATTATGGTCCCTTTTTGGGTCCTTATTATAATACGGCACCGATTATGTAGGGTACCCCAAAAGGGACCCTAATTTTGACAACTACCCATATGGCTCTGGCGGTCAGAAGATGTCCTTTGGGCATTTGGGCTGCAGCTTACGACAGGCCAAGCTCGGTACTATGGCCATTCTTATTTGGGAGTTTCAGAAAATTACGGTACCTTATGTTGGGGTCCTTATAATAGGGATCCTATTAATTAGGGTACTATATTAGGGTCCCCTATTTTCGGAAACCCCCATTAAGTTCATACAGTACTGGCGCTTGAAGTTCTTCCTCTTAGTTGCTGTCATTGTCAATAATTCTAAGTAGTAGTCAAGCCCTCGAGGCGTGCCCGGAAGCCGAAACGATTCGATGGGCTCGTAATGATAACAGAATAATGTAGGGGCCTTTATAATTAGAAGATAGTTTTTTTTTGGGGGGGGTTCCTTATTATAAATATGGTACAGTCTACCTTCAGGCCTCTACATTCTTCTTAGAAGATAGGTTCTGGGGGGGTTCCTTATTATAAATATGGTATAGTATACCCCCAGGCCCCTACATTACTTTGGTCTCTACACATTGGCTTCACTGGCACACCCTGTCGACCCCTGACCTCCCGCTGTTCAAAGAAATCCAATCGAGCAGCCAGTTTCGAATTGCCTAGTTTATGATGGTGATGATGATGATGATGATGATGGTTACGATTACTGTTATCCTGAGTGTCCCTGCTATGATGAATATTGCTATCTTTATTATGAAATTCTTGTCAATGTCGTTCTCATTGTTAGTATTATGATTAATAAACCCTAAACCCTGAACCGTCTTGTCTAACATCAACCTCGCGCCTGAAGTGTTTGGAGAAATTCGGGGGCACAGCTGCTCTGCGCAACGGACCTGTTGCCAAAATTTGAGGCCAGCTTAAGAAGTGTAGGGTTTGGGATTTCTGGGGGTTTAGGATCCCGAGGGCAGATTAAGAAGCTTAGGGTGTGTGGCTCCGAGGACAGCTAAAGAAGCATAGGGTTCCGGGTTTCGGGGTTTAGGATCTAGTCTGGGGTAGCAGGATACACTATCCTTTGACGGACAACCACACGAAATCAAGCTACAGCACATCAAGGCCCCTGCCTCTAAACCCCTTGAGTCCTACACCTTCTGACCCTGAAGCCCTATAACCTAATACGTAGTTCGATTTCTAAGGCTGCTCCAGAAGGTCTGTTTACTAACATCTCTTTCTGGGAGTTTTGTGGGCCTGTGGGAGTCGGGGTCTTTGAATCAGGCTACTGAGACTGAGGCGGTTTTTTTTCATCGCGCTGGGAGATGCAGAAATTGAGGGCCTTCAACCGCGAAATACCAGGTTTAGGGTTTGGGGGTTTAGGGTTCAGGGGGCGAAACGAAGGAACTGAGGCCCCAGCCTCATGCCCAATAATGCGCAGTAAAGACACTATGCATGTACCTGTTGTTCCCAGCAACCTTCCCACCCCATGCCTCCACAGCATCCGCGAAAGGCTCGGGCCTTGTCTTTTAGAAGGACTAGCGTGGAGGAGTTGGGACAACTGTGAGCTTCGGGCTTGGGGTTTGGGTCTTGGGGCCTTCGAGCTTGGGAAAAGCATCGACTAGTAAGCACCGTACCAGAACGAATCCAAATCTCTCAGAATCCCATTGCACGATGGACTTTGCATCCTTCCTTCTATACACTGGGCCTATGCTAGCGAGACAAACCGTGACTGCGAGCCCCGAGCCGAACCAAAACCCTGGCCCTGGAGCGCTCCAAGTCAATCCAATCCCGAACACCTCAACCTAAACCAGCATGACCCTGCTGCACTCACCATAGCAATGTTAGTTCCCGGTAAAGCCACAATCAGACAACATACATCTGAACTTTTCCTTTGGTTTTAGGCACTACGAAAAAGCGTAAAGCACGATGCTTCCCCTTGCTATACTAGCTCTGAGCCTGAAACCCTGAAACGCCTACCTATACTGAACTTAAACCCCCAGCAACAATTATAATTTTAGCTGCTTCTTAGGGTTTATGGTAACCAAAGATTAAAAAACTATTTCTAAGTACCCCTAAGCTACTCCTTTGAGCCCTCCAAGGTTTTCTGCCTCCACGCGCCGTCCGTGCCGCAGCGGAATCGGCCCGTCAGCGTGCTCCCTGGTGGGCACGCTACGGCCTCGGGGAGGCTTTTGGAGATGCATGAACATTTCAATCAGTCAGCGATTCAGGGTTGTAGTATAGGGCCTTAGGGGTTTTGGGACTTCAGGGTTTCGAGAGTGTTGGAGGTCAGACTACTAGTGTTTATGGTATGAGGTTTTGGTGGGTTTGGAGGTAGTTGGGCTTGGACTTCAGGTTTGTTCAGGATGGGGGCTTGCAAACCCTCCAGAAACCAACTCCTTCAAGCCCTGGAATCAGAAGCCTGCCCCAAAATGTTCATGCCCAACGCGATGCACTGTCGAAAAAGCTTTCGCGAAGGCTATGCATTTGAGGGTGTAGGGTTCTGGGTCAGGCCAAGGCTGAGGTTGGAAGAGCCACCACCACGGCCACAGTTACAGACACAATTCAGAAAATCTTCACATTCACACGAACCCTACACCTTCTGAAGCCCTAAACCCTAAGCCCCCCTACGAATTATGAAGAACCCTAAAAGTAGGATCCTTCTTATAAGGACACCAAAATAAGGCACCCTAAATTGTAGGATCCTTATTAAAAAGGACCCGACAAATTATAAATCTGACCGACTCCAAAGAGCCGGCTGTCCTCTCAGCACCGGGCCGTGCAGACTGCGCCAGCCCTGGCTGAGGCCTTCGGCGATAGGAGCCGTCGGTGCTTTGTTGCTCAGTGCATGCACAAGTTCGTCGGTTTAGGGTTTAGGGTTTAGGGTTCATCTCATGTGCTTGCTGGCTTACTTCGGCTTGTTTAGGTCCAGGTCTTGTCTTACATGGTTCATGGCTTAAGGAATCCATCGATCGAAAGAACGCGAAGGCAACATGGACTGCTGAATGAAGCATCTGAACCTTTCCTTTTTGGTGCATAGCACAACCACCCGTTGCAGCTACCCATAGGCCCCATAGTAGTTCTTTTTGGGGGTTACCTTATAGGATTCTAGATATGAAACCCCGAAAAGGAACTACTTTAGGGCCTATGGGTACATGTAGGGATCAGGATTGGGGTCTCTTTCAGCTTCTTGATGCCTGGGAAGCGAGGCTTCATGTCCTTCGGCTGTGGAGCTGAACTGAACTACATTGGGAGTTTCCGAAAATAGGGGGCCCTAATATAGTACCCTAAATGATAGGATCCTTATTATAAGGACCCCAAAATAAGGTACCCTAATTTTCGGAAACCCCCACATGACCACGGCACGCTTCTGTCAGTTGGTCTCATGACTCTTCGGTGTGGCTTATGCAGTGTAAGTCCCCATAGGCCCCATAGTAGTTCCTTTTTGGGGATTACCTTCTATGATTCTAAATATTAACCCCCAAAAAGGAACTACTATGGGGCCTATGGGTATCCCCTATGAGTCACCTTCAGAAGCGGAAGCCTCAGCCAGAAAGCTTTAGCTCTGTACCTCTGGTCCAGGCTTTTAGCCCTCGTGTCGTGAGTTCAAGAAACGGTTTAGAGTTTAGGGTTTAGGGTTCAAGAATCAAACTCAGCAGCTACGCCCCAAAAAAAACCAACGGACAACAACCAGGTAAGCACGGGGTAGAAGAATCTCGATGTTAAGGGCTCTTGGCGCACGGATGCGCCTGAAACCCTTGCTAGCGCTGCCTGGGTTCGGGTCGCTGATCCTCCCAAACAGTTTCAAGCTGCGGCCCTGAGACCGAGCCGAGAAGTTTAGAGTCTACATTATCTTATGTTACGTTATGTGATAAACAACAATCCACGATAAGGCCCAACTCAGGCAAGCGGCACAGCTCGAGGTGTCAGTTTCTGCAGCCTGCTATGGCAGGAGTCTTCTCACCCCGGAAGGCGGCTACATAGTTCGTGCTTCAAAGTTCGAGCGTAGGAGCCTGCCGCTAGAGGGGCTTCAGGTAAAGGCGCCTTCGTATAAGGATACGCTTAAATAATCTGAAGGTCCATCGTGAAATTCAGACTTGCAGCTGTTCCAGGACGAATGGCTTTACGATTTTCGGCTTTTGGGGGTATCGGGGGTGTTTCCCTCAAGAGCTCTGGGTTTGTGAGCCTTTTCCAAATTTTCAGGGTGCAGGGTTCCGTGATTCTCTACACCGACCCTCCATCCTTGGCCTGGGATCTCTGACATTAGAGGAGTCTGGGACAAGGATACCTGGCTCAGGGGCTTAGGGTCTAGTCTATTAAGGTTTAGGGTTTAGGGTTCAGGGGTTTAGGGTTTAGGGCTTAGTCTATAATGGATTCTAGGTCTTGGTGTCAAGGTGAAGCCTTCATACCTTCACCCTGTAGTACAGAGCACAGAGGCCTTCAGGCCCTAAACCCAAATATCTTCATAGGGCCCTAAACCCAAATATCTCCATAAGGCCCTAAACCCCAAATATCTCCAAGCCCAATCCAGCGAGAGGCCTCGTCGGAGCCTGGCACGGCCGGCAGAGGAAGACTGCAGCGCACCTCCTCGCATCGAGGCCTCGGTCTTAAGCCCAGAGACTCCACAACCCCTTAATTAAGGAATACACCGTAAATTATAATGGGAACCTTAGTAAGATTTAGGGTATATTCCTTAATTAAGGACTATACTATACCGTATATTATAATAGGAGCCCTAGTAAGATTTAAGGTATATTCCTTGATTAAGGGTTTTGGAGTCTCTGGGAAAAGAGCGGCGGAGGCCTCTGCCGAGAGCGCCAAAAGGCCCCTGAGATGAGGAACGGAATAATGACAAGCCGGAAAGCCTGAACCAAGAACTCTATAGTTAAGAGATAAGGAATGGATCCCTGGATCATGATGACAAGCCTGAAAGCCTGAACCAAGAACTCTACCTTAAGAACCCCAAACCCACTTTTTTGTAGGTTCCTATTATTTTCCCTAATATGGGATTTATAGGGGCCCTACAAAAAAGTAGGTTTTGGGTTCTTAAGGTATAGTTAAAGTGAAGGGTGAGCAGCGGGTGTTTCTGCGAGTCTTTGATGATCTGAGAACCCCCATCATGCTGTTGAAGATTGGCTTAGTCGGCCTTCGAAAATTTCGACGGTGCCTACAAAGAAAGGCATTTCAAGCACATGGTTTGGGTCTCAAGGTGCTTCAGTGCAAGTCTTTTCTGAAATCGGGGTGCAGCGGACTGCAGCTTCTGAAGCTACCCGGAGTCAGAATTCCGAGCAGAGGGTTGCCCCAAATTTTCCAGATACGTCTTTCACGGCATTCTTTGAAAGGCCTAAACCCTAAACCCTAAACCCTAAACCCTAAAGGATTCGGACCGAAGAGCAGGCCGGGTCCGGGTCTGATTTCCGGGCTCTGAATCACCTTAATCATTAGCATGGGGAATGGGGGTTCGGAAGAGGAGGGGGGGGGGGTAAATTATGGTACAGGCTTTAACAAGAAGCCCCAATAGGAATCGCAACTGCTCAGGCCTCTGCATGATGGGGCCTTAATAATTAGAATCAGGTTTTGGGGGGGTTCCTTATGATAATTATAGTAGACTAATCCCCAACACCCTATTCTAATTATGAAGCCCCCTACGTTCTATTTGGGGGCTTGGTAGTGAAGCCCCGGAGAGGCCCTTAGCGCCACGCAGCACAGCCGGCAGGTTCTCCTGCCAGGGGCAGACAACTCTGAGAGTCTCGGGCTTCGGGGCTTTCTGGCTTCAGAGGTTTGGGGAGTAATATAGAGGCCTTAATACTTAGAATAGGGTTTTGGGGGCCCATTATACTATAATTATGAGGAACCCCCCAAAAAATCGTTTTGGTAGTTGTTCCGGCTCCTATAGTAGGCCGAGGGCTTTCTTGCTGTAGCGCCGTACGGCTTTGGGGGAGGGATCACCGCCTCAGTGCTGCAAGGCAGTTTGGGAAAACTGTGGAGATGACTGTTTGGCGCCTTCCCGAGCTCCCCGAAGCCTTGGAGCCACTGGGTTGACTATACTGCAGAGAGCCAGAAAGCCGATGAAGTTAGGGCTTAGGGTTTAGGGTTTAGGGCAATCCCAGCAATAAACTCGTAGATCGAGGCTTGCCTTGCCTACGAGCTTAAGGAGGACCCCACCAGTGAGGAAACTAAGCTCACGCAGCCCGTCCTGGGAGTAGAGGATGTTGCGCAACTCCACCCTGGCAGGCCTCAATGGCAGGATCAAGCGTCTCGTTGAGGTTTGAGCTCCGGGATTGCATGATTCTTGGGTTTAGGGTTCTGGGGGTGAGTACTTCAAGCCCTACACGCTGAAATCTAGGCGAGGGGTATCCAAAACAGCTTTCCGGCTGGCACTGCTGTGGGCTTGTACGGGCTATCACCGGAACCTCGAAACGCTCATGTAAAATCTTCGGACGAGAAAGCTATCCTTTAAGCGTCCTGCATTGAAGCTTGGACACCCCAAACCTTTTTCAGATTCACCCCTTACCTAATCCAAACTCCGAAAACCTTAACGCGTGAAGGCCTAAGCATCGAAACCGTCGAAACCCCAAGACACTTAAACCCCAAACTCCCCACCCAAAACCATAAAACCCTAAGCCTCAAACCCCGAAACCCTCAAACTCCAAAGCCCCAAAATCTTAAAGCTTTGAGCTCCGGGCGCATCCCAAGGACCCCCGGCATAGGCCTCAGCCACCGGAAAGTCCATCCGGGCCAGCACCTGCCCCAAAACCAAGGGCTTAGTTTAAAAATCAAGGTTTCGGGTTTGGCTGCGGGATTTTAGGGTTCCGGGCGCTTAAGATAGTTTAGAGTCCAGGGTTTTAGGTTTGGGGTCGAAGGTTCTCAGGGTTGAGGTTGGCCATGTTTTCTTCCCCAACACCACAAAAGCCTGAGAAAATGACCCGCAGCTCTGCGAGTCTGGGACACCGCGCAGGAACTTGCTGCTTCACTCGGGACTACCTGTAGTCTCCATTGTGGTTCCTTTTTTTTGGTTTAACCAAATACACAATAAGGAATTTATAAGGTATCCCCAAAAGGAACTACAATGGAGACTATAGGTAGAGTTCAGGGTTTAAGGGCTTTAGGGCTGAAAAATATTCGGGCTCAGCTCGGGAAAAAGATGGAGGAAGACCTAATTCACAGAAACTTGTTGTTGGTTCACAGTCTGTGCTGCAACGGGGGTGGGGGACTCACGGAAATAGGCCTCGGGACCTACGTAAGGGCTATGATGGGACAGGAGGGTCTGTCCACTTAGGGTTTGGGTTTAGGGTTTAGGGTTTAGGGTTTGGGGCTTAGGGGGGTTTAGGGTGCACTGCTTGTCGAGACCATGAAGCTTATCTGGGTGCCTCCTGTTCGCACTCTTCACGGCCATCCAATCTCACTGTCAGAAGGTCTCCAAGGATGCTCACCTCCTCAGAGGAAGGGCTAGGCAAACGGGGGAGGCAAGAGAAGGAGGATTACGGTAGAAGGACTAGCATGCATGCATATGCCACTTGCAACCTTACTGCTTCACTAAAGTTCTCTCGCAGTTTTAATCGCATTTGAAGGCATTCCTGAGCTTTGAGTACCACTGGTCTGCCTTGATCCTGGTAGCTGAGGCTTTTGGTTTCCATTGCTTCCGCCTACCCAAGTCAGGAGCCCGACGCCTAGCAAAACCATGTCCGCATTCCTTGTACCTCAGCTGAAAGGATCACTCTTTATTTGAAGAAGAGCTCGAACTCGAATCGAAAGCCCCCTGGGCCTTTGAAAACACCAAATGAAGAAGCAGTGAGGGCGCTGCCAGATGATGAAAACCCCCGAGAGCCAGGGGTGTCTGGATCAGGCCTCAGGGGGAAGCTGAAGGCAATAGGGTTGACTGTAAGCCTTAATTCAACTTAAAAACTATACCGCGACCCTGCTACGAGTCAGTAAGGCCTTAAACCCTAAACCCTAAACCCTAAACCCTAAACCCTAAACCGTCCGTAAACTGCAGCTACGGAGCCAACCCTAGGGCCTCAAGCCAATACAGTTGGTGAGTGCGCAGTAGTAAAACTTAGAACACGACATAGCGGTTCCTCGTGCGTTTTCTCAGGTGAGGTAGGGCCTACTTGAATCAGAAAGCAAGGTCCCTTACATGCGTAGACCCTGCTTCTAAGAATTTAGAGCTTGTGTCCGGGATAGTCTACGGTGAAATAGTTAATGAAGGACCCTCTTATATGATCTCAGATGCTGGCGTTGCAGTGCAACCAGGGAGCAACTTGGTGTGCCATCAACGAAGACTTGAAGCTTTCGCCTCATTTGAGCCAGTTACGCAAAGTGTGATTCTGGTTGAGGTTAACGGTTAAAGGTTGAGATCTTCTTCGGTTGTGGCGCAGCTTTGCGATGCATTAGGGGTTTAGGGTCAAGGATTACTGCTTACCTGAGCAATTTTGGGGGTCAGGGCGACCGCAACACACACACACACACCTTCCTTTGATGTCTCCGTTTAGCTGCACAGGCACCCGGTGGCGGAGATCGTTTCCGGAACGAGGAAGATGGCCGGCAGCCGATCGCCGTCGTTGCCTGCGTCTGGAGGAAGTGAAGGCTCTTTCGGTTGAAGGACTACAATCATTCCTGCAAGAGCCCCCCTGAACCCCCCCCTCTCAACAAAAAAACAACAAATTACACATTTTTTGCCTATCGTCCAACAACGGCCACAGTCAAAGGGGATTGTCAAGGAGTGCTGAACCAACTTGGTCTTGCGAAAGTATGGGGGAGTGGCTGGATGCGGCACTTTGTGCTCGTTGCTATATCGTTGATGCTCACGTCATGGGCTGCAGAAAAATCGTGTCTAAAGGGCCTCTACACAGATTTGGCAATGTCCGACAGCCCCGCAGCTCCCTAAGCTGAAGCGGATGCAATGAGTAGTGCTAGTAGCAGTCGCCGTCGTCGTCGTTAGTAGTAGTAGTAGTAGTAGTAGTAGTAGTAGTAGTAGTAGTAGTACTAGTAGTAGTAGTAGTAGTAGTAGTAGTAGTAGTAGCAGTAGTTCGTCGTCGTCGTCGTCGTCGTCGTCGTCGTCGTCGTCGTCGTAGTAGTAGTAGTAGTAGTGGCAGCAGTTGTAGTCGTCGTTGTGGTGGTGGTAGTAGTAGTAGTAGTAGCAGTAGCAGTAGCAGCAGTAGTAGCAGTAGTAGTAGCAGCAATAGTCGTCGTTTTGGTGGTGGTAGTAGTAGCAGCAGCGGCAGGGGCAGGGGCAGTGGCAGCGGTAGCAAAAGTAGCGGCAGCAGCAATGCCGTGGTCAGGACGGTGGTAAAGTAGTACTTCATCACTCTTCGCCATACTGCAATATGATCGCAGTTCATGTCCCGTGTCTGAGCTCTCAATCTGGCGTGGGTTTCCTAATACCACCAACATGCCCGATCGAACAGCTACTGCTAAGACTGCATGCCGAGAAAGTGGCAGCAGCCGTTTCCCGTCGCTGAGAAGTGGAGAATGCTCAGGAAGTCCGTCCTGGCGGCCACGGTCTATGGGTCTTGATTGGTGGATCTTGATCGCTTTCTGCTCATGGTTGGTTTCAGTCATTGAGCTCCCCAAAAAAAGACCATTGAAAACCCTCAACCCCATTACATACCCAATGAAACACGACCCCCCTTTGCTCGGCCGTAATGTCAGTATGCCTAATTACTGTGGTCCTCAGTAAGGGCCAGTCGAAGGCCTACACTTAAACCGTAAACTCTTTCTGGGAGGATGGAAGCGATTGAACCACACAAGCCCTGAAACCCTAAACCCTTGAAAACCGACACACCAGAAAAATGAAAGCAGAACATGTGAGTTTTGGGGTGTTTTGGGGACGCAAGCTCTAGACTTTAGGACGGGAGGTTTAGCCTCCGACCAGGCCCTGAACCGTGAATCGCACACAGACGCACTCAAACTCAGCTGCCGCAAGTGCACTCCAGACTCCCAGAACCGCGAGCCGGCAACTGCGCGCCCTCAGCCTCTAAGCCTTTTATATACATAACGCAGTATAGTATAGTTTTTGAGTTATAGTACACTATCTTATATACATAACACGGCATAGTATAGTTTTGTATTATGGTCCCCCTAAACCCTAAACCCTAAACCCTAAACCGTGTTATGGTGCACTATCTTATTTGCCCTAATGGCCACGACGCGGCCATTAGACTCTTTCAAAGCCGCTGGGGATTTCGGGAACCCTTGGTCCGACACTCTGCCAACTTTTAGGGTTTAAGGGTTTAGGGTTTAGGGTTTAAGGGTTTAAGGGTTTAAGGGTTTAGGGTTTAGGGTTTAGGGTTTAGGGTTTAGGGTTTAGGGCCAACTCTCCAAGCAGGTCGGTGAGGCTCAGCGGGCGCTTGTACGGCCAGCTCCATGGAAAGAGTGAACTCTGGAGTCAGACGGACCTGCGACAGGACAGAAGTTCAGGGTTTAGGATTTAGGGGTTGAGCGAACTCTGGAGTCAGACGGACCTGCGACAGGATAGAACAAGTCCTCAGCGGATTAGTTTTTGTGGCTTGCTAGAAGGGCTCCACAGTGGTCCTACAACTCTCCCGTGTCTTATAAGGAGACTTAAGAGAAATCCGGACGCCAAGAGCCAGAAAATCGTACATCCCGTTAGTATTTTTCGACCAGTGAGCACCAAAACAAAAACGAAGCCATATAAACCCGAAACTGGAACCCCAGTCGCGTGCCCTGGCGAAAGAACCCGCCTTGTAAGCAGCCAGGGGGCTCTTACACTTCTCTCAAATCCCTGTAAGCCCCGATCATTCCGACCATCTGCAAACCTTGTTAACCCTCAACCCTCATGAAACATTCAAAAACTGTAGCCAAGCCAAGAAGAGAAACGAACCCCGGGATCGAGCCGAGCCACCTTGTTGCTCAGGAGGAAACTCTGGGAAACTTGGAAGGCGTCGTACCTTGCAAAGGCGTCGTTTGTTGGTTGCGCTGTTGTCTCTAAGCTGCTTTAGTATTTTTTGTTGTGCGTATATGTGTGTGTGTGTGTGTGGGTGGGTTGTGTTCAACTTTTTGTTCAATGGATGGAGTCATTGGGCTCAGTGCTGCCGAGGCTTCGGGTCGGGTTTTAATGATTAGAGTTTATGAGGCTCTTGGGTGAAGGCCAGGCGTTCGAGCAAAGGCTTTTAGCACCAGGGGTTCAGGTTTAGGGCTTTGGAGGTGTAGGGTTGAGGACTTCAGGGGGGGTAGGGTTTCAGGGCTTAGGGCATTTATGGCTGGATAACACAAGGTTGTCAACGTCAGAAGTGTCACTAGTACTGGAGTTTGCCACTGTGGCTGCGAAGGGTATTGTTGTTGTGTCGCTTTAATATTTTCTGGCTCGCGTGACACAGCAGGGTTTGCATAGGAGTGGCATAGACGGGTCTGTGGAAAGGATTCTTTGCGCCTTGTCCTAGAAAAAAGGTAAGTAGTGCTCACTCTCATCCTCGGAAGAACCAGTTTCCTCTAAAACCCCCTCTAGTGCCCCTCATAGCACCTTGGATATGTAGTCTTGTAGTGCCTTACAGCAACCGCTGAAGTCAACAGCGTCTGACGAGTGGCATGCAGACCGTTATCGGTCCGGTGAGCTAGGATCCGTGTCTTCGGTCGGGGTGTCCAATGTCTCAGTTAGATTTGTCGGAGTAATTTCTTCAGGGCTTCAGGGCTAGCGGAGAAGCCTAGGCCAGGGATTTAAGGCCGATCGATACTTCCACCTGATGCTGATGCTGAAGGTGATAAATGGTGATGATGAGCCCTCCTAAAACCCTAAACCCAAAACCCCCCTAAACTTGCTAAACCCCAAAACCCCCCTAAGCCCTCCTAAAACCCTAAACCCCCGTAAACCCTCTTAAGACCCTAAACCCTAAACCCCTAAAACCTTCTTAAAACCCTAAACGCCCCTAAACCCCCCTAAAACCCTACAGTAAACCCCCCCTAAACCCTCCTAAACCCTCCCTAAACCCCCAAACCCCCGTAAACCCTCTTAAGACACCAAACCCTAAACCCTAAATCCCATAAAACCCCAAAAAAAACCCGGAAGTCCGAGGACCGGGCCCCCGGAGTCGGATCTGCACGTGCTGCTGCCAGCCCAGGTTCCCGCAAAGGAGGTCCGCCGTGGCGCCTCGGAGGTGCGTTTGTAGAGGGCTTTTTATGAGACTATAAACAGCGGTATATAAGGGGTATATAGGGGTTTTGTATGAGACTATATAAGGGGTATATGAGGGTTATATAGGGGTTATATAAGGGCTATATAAGGGCTATATAAAGGGGTTTGTAAGGGGTATATAAGGGCTGTATAAGGGGTATATAAGGGTTATATAAGGGTTATGTAGGGTATTAAGATTTTTTGAGCAGCGGAGAGCCGTTTTTCATTAGGGCTCATAGGGTTGAGGAGTTTAGGATAGGGTTTAGGGTTTTGGGTTAAGGAGTTTGGGACAGGGTTTAGGGTTTCGGGTTAAGGAGTTTAGGATTCAAGTTTATAAGGCTTCGTAAATTGCAGGGTTTAGGGTCTCGACTGGGTTCCTTTACGGCTTAAAGTGCAGAGTTGGTACTTCCAGGTTGTACGGTGTGAGGTTTAAGGTTCTGGGGGGGATTCAGGGGTATAGTTATAGCCTTACTAGCCCTATTAAGTTTCACTTCGAAGTCACGCCAAATTCCCTGGTTTGTCGGGCGGCTTCGCAAAGACTTCCCTAGGTCTGTGCAAGGCTATATAGTGCAATCATCATCAAGCAACTATGCGAGAATCTAGCACCCCAAGGCCCCAAACCCCAAAATCCTAATCCCGAAACCGATCTCGCTAATCTAGTCACTCAACCTAAACCACATCTGCATCGGGAACCTGACTCTCAAGGCAAGGCACAGCCCTCTGACAACTCCTCCTTGTGGCTTGAGTTGACGGCCTTACTCTTTAGGGACTTTAGAGTATTCGAGCTTAAGGGTTAAGGCTAAGGGGTGTTGAGGGTTTCAGGAGAAGCCTGTGTCTAAACTTAACGCTTGGGCCTTGACGGGTATTGGGAGCTTTTGCAAACATGCCGAGGAACGAAATCCGCTCTGGCACTGCAGCATGCACACCTTGCGGCAGGGCAGCTAGCAGCGTAGCTGCCCCGCAAACTCTTGTGGTGTCCTAAACATGAACAAACTACTCAACAATCAAACGCAGTAACAACGACAACATCAGCAACAACAAGAACAACAACAACACACTCACCACCGCCACCGCCACCGCCACCGCCACCGCCACCGCCACCGCCACCGCCACCGCCACCGCCACCGCCACCGCCACCGCCACCGCCACCGGCACCCGCACCCGCACCAGCACCAGCACCAGCACCAGCACCAGCACCAGCACCAGCAGCAGCACCAGCAGCACCAGCAGCACCAGCAGCACCAGCAGCACCAGCAGCACCAGCAGCACTAGCACCAGCGCCAGCACGAGCACCAGCAACACCAACCAAAACCAACACCAGCACCAGCAGGACACGGTGGAGGAGGAGGAGGAGGAGAAGCAAATACCAACCATAGCAGTACTATGAGTACTATGTGAGAATCACAAGCAGCCCCAAGATCGTCCCAGCAATGTCTCGGGCCTTGCCGTAGCGCAGACCCGTGCAAGCATCAAGGCTTTGGGGAACAGCATTGGCGATGCTACCTGAGGTCTCAACGGCTATGCCGAGTTTCGGCTTTGGATGTGAGTTCTAGGGCTTCGGGCCTTGCGGGGTGCCGGCTTTAGGTGTGGGTTTTCCCCTTCAAGATGGCACCGGAAGCCTTTGCTGTGTTGATATCGGTGGCATTGGGCTTCAGCATAAAGGGCCTAGGTGCGCATTGGGGTCAGTTTAATATTCTCAGTATCGTGAGCACGCGCTTCCCGGAAGGTTGGTTTGGATTCATCCGCCTAAGCCCGAAACGCCCTCCTCAAAGGGAATCTCTTGCGTGGCTATGTTCATAAGCCGAAATCAGTGTCTAGACCCCTACAGCTTAAATCCTAAAAGCCTAACCGCAAAAACAAAACCACAATCTAACGCCTAGAAACTCTATGCTAAAGCGCCACAGTATTTAAATAACAACTCTTCAGTCATGCCCAGCACCGCCCAGCTCAGGGGCGGACCAACCGTGCCACAAGTCCTCCCGCAGCCTGGGTGCACGCGTAACATGGGGTCCTTCATGGTTGGAATGAACAGGGTATGGGTGCAAACTATGCCATGGTTGTGTGCAGACGAATAAGGGGACATTAGAACTTCCCCCATCTCCTTTGTCGACTTGCTTGCGAGGGCTCTGAAATATTCGCAATCCTTCTTCAGGATCCCGATATTTGCGAGTAATTACGATCCTAATCTTTGCGGTCGATCGTGGGGTCCCTTGTTCTCTGAAACTCCCGAATTCTGCGAAAACAGCACGATTTGGGCATCACGGCTTGTCTTGTACACTGTGCCCAAGTTGGCACATGTGCGAGCTTTGCATCGCTAATCTTTGTAAACTTTGGGCATGGGTCAGGCGGGTGGGGTGAAAGATGTATTCCGAGGTTGAAGGGGGACGGTTTTAGCAGTGGGTGCGAGTTGGGAAGGGTTGGCAGCTACTGCTCCTTAGTGTCCTGCCTTGGCTGATGACCGCTTATTTCAAGCTCGTGCTGGAGACCCTTGGCTGTAACTTTACACTCACACAACGGAACCTCAACATGCATGCGAACCCCAACAGCTCAACAGCAGTCCGAGTGGGTCACTGAAGCCGACTCCTGAACTCATGGATTTAACGCTCTACGGCAGATACCGCTGACAACGAAACCTGCATGTGAACCCCCACATAACACAATAAACGATGATCTCATCACAAGTATAAACCCTTCCTGCTAACTATACACTGTAGCTCCAAACCTCACACATTAGGCCAGGTTCTGGCCCCATAAATCTAGGTTGCAGTCCTGAAGCTGCTAGGTCAAACAAAGGGTTCCCAGGTTGCTAAACCCTAAGCCCTAAGCCCAAAACACTAAACCCAAAACCCTAAACCCTAAATGAGCCCTGCCCGACAGCTTCTTCAAGCGGGGAGCTGAACGTGGGAGGCGAGAGCACCCCCTCCGTGCACGAAAGCGCATCCTCGCTGGGCCTTGACGTGGCAGGGTTTAGGGTTTAGGGTTTAGGGTTCAGGGTTAAGGGTTTAGGGTTCAGGGTTAAGGGTTTAGGGTTCAGAATCTATATGGTTTTAGGCTTGGTAGGCCCTAAAGTAGTTCCTTTTGGGGGTTCATATAAGGTGACCCCAAAAAGGAACCACTATGGGGCCTATGGGTAGACCCTAAACCCCTTTTGGGTGCTTTGGGATTGCACAGTAGTGGCTCGTCTCCCTCGCAGCACGGCGACCTTTGAGGTTTTCCCAATTTGGAGTTTACGGCTCAGGGAAGGTATATATGCTGCAAACTTATGGGCCGAAGTCTTGGGACTTAGGAAATGGACAGGGCTGAGGGTGCAACAAAGCAACCAAAGGGCTCGTCCACCAGTCGAAGAAGATGCCAAACACTCAAGTGATAATTTATAAGCTTGGTGCTAAAACCCAACCCCCAAACTCCTGAAGCTCTCAACCCAAATCTCTAGTCATCAACTTCACCAACCGACCGCTCTAAAAACGTAACCCTGAATTCTGACCCTAAACCTAAATCCTGCCGAACCTGAAACCGTGATCATCGTGGTCCTCAACCTGCTCTGATCTAGGCTCCAATGGAACTGCCGGCGTGGCTCCCGTGAAAGGCCGCAGCATGCTGTGCTTCCAGGCTTTTCGGCTCTGTGAAAAGGGTCAGTCCGTTGATGCAGCGTCCGTCGATGTGTCTGCCGGGTCATTGCCCAAGCCACTAGGGTCTGCAAGGGGTCTGCACCGAGCTGCACGCTTACAACATGCCACACGTTGATCTGCTATAGTTCACGCCCCCCCCCCTTCAAGGCGGTGCATGACATCCTCACTAAATACATGAATTGTTCGCCGCCCATGCTGTTGCTGCGGCTGTCAATGTCCCATGCTTAAAAGCTTGCATGGTCTTGCATTGGATTGGGGCCTCCAGCCCTCGAGGAAATCGATGCCAGCCTCTGTAGGAAAGCTTGCTGTGCCAGCCGCGCGGATTCAAACGCCGCAGGCTGGTCACGTGGAAGGCTTGCACCTGGCGAAGAGGATGTCCTCGGTCTTCGAGGGCAGCGTCTCCACAGGGAGGAATTGGGTCAGGAGCAGGTACTCCTTCAGGCCGTCGAAGATTGAACCTGTCGGGGTGTAGAGCACCCACTCGCCGGAAATGTCCTGGATGAATCGACGCTTTGACGGCGAATGCCACTTGCAATCTTCTTTTCCGTTAGTGAGGTTTGCCCACTGCTCTGCGGATCGCGTCTTGTCCACCTTGTGGATCTGCTGGCGCCTCCAGGCGTGGTGGGAGGGGTTTTGCGGCTCCTCTAGGCTTGGCTTTACGGGGGAACAGCACGGCTCTTTAAGAAACCCTTCGGCTTTAGGAGCGTCTGGAGTTGAGGCCTTTTTGGGGTGGTTTAGGAGTTTAGGGTTTAGGGAGCCACGGCCTCTTCGCAGGCAGCTTCAGTAGCTGCTGGAACGCCTCAGTCAAGATTTCAAGGTTTAGGGTTCAGAAACCCGTGCTGAGCAAAGAGGCCCCTCATTCAAAACCCACTCTTTTCGGTCCCTTCGAAATCAGAATCCATTCTACAACCCCTCACAAGTACTCCCGAGCCTAGACCCTCAACCAATCAGAAGGACTTCCCCGAAAAAGAAACTACTCCAGACCACAGGCAAGGACAGCTAAGTTGATGTGCGACATGATGCGTGGGTTTAAATGCCTGAACCATCTGAACCATGGGCCCTAAACCCCAAAGCCCTACACCCTCAACCCTAGACCCCTGAATCCTGAACCCCTAACAGAAGCAGCCCAGAGGCCTGCTCGCCAGTACTCGCCGGCTGACGACAGGTGGCGCGAAGTGGCGCTAGGCTTTGCACCTCGTCAGGCCCCGGTGTTTGCTTGATTCATTGAAAATCCGAACCGCGAACCCTAAGGCCCCAAACCTAAAGCATCCCGTGAATCCTGAACCCTAGCCCTATAAACTTTAGCCCCAACCCCGAAACCAAAAACCGCGGACCCTACACCCTGAACTCTGAACCCTAAGTTCTCTGAAAGCTCCGGCTCCTTTTGCGCGAGCTATCTTGCAGGCTTCGGGGCTCGGGGGGCCGCTTCAAAGCTTTAGGTTAATACGGGGGTAAGCGACCTAGAGTTTCGGGGGTTAGAGGGTCGATGTTGAAGGATGCTGAAGGGTGAGCGGGTTTGAGAAACAAGCCTAGCAGTCAGCGATTGTGGAGCATTGTGCTGCCTAGGACCGAGCAGGAAGGCCATATAAAAGGCTTCGGACATAAACAAAGCATCCACTGTGTCGGGGATCGGGAACCAGGAAACTTTAACCCAAAACGCTAAACTCTAATACTACACCCCACATCCTCATGAAACCCTGTAAGCCCGAGTCGTTAACCAGGAATCATTAATCCTAAAAAATCCTAAGCCGTAACTTTACGTCCTATGTAAATAAACCCTAAGCCGTAAATTCTGAATCCTAACCCGCAAGCCCTACACCCCAACCCCCCCCCCTCGTGCTGTGTCGACCAAGGTGCCGAGAGGTATGGCGACAGCTGTGTCATCACCCTGGCACGGTTCATGGCACATGGTATGTCGTTCCGGATTAGCGTTTCGGGACCCTGGCGCCAGGATGTTCAAAGCAAGCACGTCGGGTCTCTCTTACAATAGCAGTTACCGCAAGGCTTCGGTGACCCGGTGTAGATAAAACAGGACCCTAGATTTTGCTAGATTTATTGTTGCTGGACTGTTACTTGCAGGACGCCTTACCAAGGTCTATATGCACTATGTGCAGTCGCGCGACTCCTTTGGCATAGAGACGCTGTGGACGACCTGAGCCGGGGCAAAGGATGCGGAAAACCTACCTGCAACTGCTTTGTGCTGACTCCAGCTAGGTGCCAGGCAAAGTCCGGCTCGCGAGCGTAGCCTGATACGAGCAGAGCCAAGTGCAGCATTGAAACCAAGGTCTCAGGCATAACTTGTGCTTTGATCTGCAAACTGCAACTCTTCACCCGACGCCTTCAGGGTGGCTCGCATCGCAAAGCCCTCGCAGTCACGGCAATTGAAGCATGACTGCTTCCACTCTCGCGATTGTGCATGACAGCTGACATCTCAGGAAGGGGCATGAAGAGGTCAACCAGGACAAAGCGTCCGCCCAGGCTTCCATGGTCGGACTACAAGCGAAGCGTGAAAGGTCAAGTGACTTCAGACAAGCCTCTAAGCATTCTCTGAGCCAAAGCGCTTCCACCGGAAGAATCCCCAATCTCTACAGGATTTCAAACCATCAATCGAAAATACCTCAACCCTGTACCCTCCTCGGCCTAAGGCCTAAATCTGCCACCTGAGGCCTGCATCGAGAAAGTTCAAGGCCGAATCTCAAATCTTCAACCCTACACCCAGAAATCCTCGATTACTCAAGACCTGCACCACTAAACCACCGTTAAGAACAGGAAGGCAAAACGAAAACTGTTACCGGGGCTCTCACTCCAAGCCCTCGCGACATGCTGGGGTGCAGGTCCCGCCACCTTTGACATGGTCGAAGGGTTTAGAAAACAACAAGTTCAAGTAGTTGTTTCTCGGGTTTTCAGTTTGCTTGGAGGTTGTTTTGTGTGGCTAAGCTACGGTCAGTAGTAGCTGCGCGCACATGCACCTCTCAATCCACATAGAAACACAGCCCGTCCACAAATAGAAGCGCAAAGCCCAAGACCGTAGTTTAGACTGTTCCCATGACATCAGCCTAAAGCCGCTTATACACCTGAACCCCTACCCGCAAAAAAAACAAAAAAACTACCCTTGTAGCAAGCCTGGATAAAGAAGCTTTAGCTTTCGATAGCTGAACCTCCCCGGATCGAAGAAAGCCGCCCCCCAAGCAACCACTCCCTGGTGCTTAGTAGGGAATGGAGGAATGGATCCCTATAGTTGCGCAGTTCGTACATCATCCCCTGCAACAGCCCCCATAATCTATTCCGTCTATTCCCCCATTAACCCTAAACCCTAAACCCCTAAACCCATACACCCTAAACCCCTAAACCCTAAACCCATACACCCTAAACCCCTAAAGCCCTAAACCCTAAACCCCCAAATCCTAAACCACCTAAATCTCTAAACAAGGCACTGGGGAGACCAGGGAATGAAGGGCCCCCACTCGGAACGGAGCTTCCTTCCAGACAGCTCTGCACTGCCTGCACGGCCCGACTGACGGTTCCTTTAAGGGCCCAGGTGGTTTTTCATCCCTGGGCACGAAGTTCTTGGTTGAAGGGTTTTTGGAATTCAGGGTCTTTGGATTCAGCTTGTGTTTGTTTGGGCTCCAACTGTGGTCTGTCGGATTCCGGTTGTTGTGGTTCGCTTTAGGGTGTCGCCTGTTCCAAACGGCAACTTCCTTCCGTGTCAACGCAAAGGTCATTGTTGCGTTTAGGGCTAAAGAACCGAGGAAGCAGAACTCCAAGACTGTAGGTCTCAGGGTTCTGGATTGTGGGGCTTTCGTATGTTGGGGATATCTCGCTTCAGCTGAGAAAGAAGTCGGTGATGGGGCTTTCTTTAACGGCTTCGGAGGTTCAAGGAATTTTGTTCAGGCTTCATTGGCTCTTCGTGCAAGAGGAAGGCTTGGGGCACTGGTGGTTTGGTAGTTTCGTCCAAGACTAGGGCTTGGGGATCTGAAACCTGTAATGTAAAGGGCTAAACAATTCCCAATACTATTTGGGGTGCCTTATTATGATTATAGTATAATGGGCCCCAAACCCTATTCTAATTATTAAGGCCCCTACATTCGGCTTTTGACTTTGATTCGCACACGTTGAACATAGATGCTGCAAGCTGCGCTGATGTCTGCAATCTGCAACGACGCCCTGGCACCAAACACTGAAGCCGGCATGACCGTCTACCTTCTGCAAGCTGCAATGCCCAAGAATACCTTGAACGGCTTTCCAGGCGATAAGCTCAAAGCAAACACAAAAACCGACAAAAGCACGGCGAAGTCTCCAAAGACGTCGGCTCCAAAGCCCGATTCGAGATTCCGTCTCCCCCCAATCCGCCCTACACCGCGCGCGACTTTGGCACACCATCTTCTGAAAACCTGGTAAGACCAGAAGCCCGCGAGACACCCTTTGTGAGTCCCTGTTACCCATAGGCCCCATGGTAGTCCCTTCTGGGATTATCCTTATAAGATTCTATATGTGAACCCCCAAAAAGGAACTACTTTAGGGCCTATGGGAAGAGCCCAGCGTTTCGAAGGCCTGATCCACGGCCGTTGGAGCTGGGCACTTCTGCAAACAACGCACCTGCCGCCAGCTTCCGTGACTTTTCTCTTTTTTGTTGAACCCCTTTTTCCGTCTGGCTGGCACGGAGCTCAGTGGAATCCGTTCTAGGGTTCGGGGTTTCCTTTAGAGGTTCTGCAAGAGAAGGGTTCGATGAGGAAACTCCTAAGGGTGCTAAGATTTAAATGGTTTCCTAAACCCTAAACCCTAAACCTAAACCCTAAACCCCTAAACCCTAAACCCTAAACCCTAAACCCTAAACCCTAAACCCTACAGGGCCCTAGAAGAATTTTGAGCCACGAGTTTCAGACTCAGGGCTCTGCGGTCTGGGCTTTACTTTTAGGCTTCAGCTTTGTTTTTGCAGGCCCTTGGGATTGCAAGGTTTGTCTTCGCGCTTCGAGTTTTAGGGTTGAGGGCTCTCGGCTTTAGGGTTTCGCGTGCTGGGCTTGCGTGGTGATTTCCCAGTGATCTTGGGCATACCTCTGTAAGAGTTTGCCTGGTGAGAGAAATAGAGTAGAATACTAGGAACGAGCGAACCAGCAAACCGACCTCGAGTACCGAACGAACAGCCCCAGCACAAACGAAAACTGGGCCGATAACCGTGAAATCCTCTTGAGCCCATGTCGCGTGAAGGCCGATCTAACCTAAGCTCAGAGCCCTGGATGCCGACATCCCCCAACGTAGGGGCCTTAATGATTTCAACAGGGTTTTGGGATGATACACTATACTATACCATAATCATACTATAGAACCCAATTATTATAAGGCGCGTATACTAAGCCCCCCAAAGATCAAACTCAAGACGAAGCCACGAACTACAGCGGCCTCGGACCAAATCCCATCAGAGCACACCGCCTGTCACGGCGGTCTTCTAGGGGTCCAGGGTTTGGGGTTCAGGGGCCTCGTGGGGTTTAAGGTTAAGGTCCAGGGATTCGTGGGTTTGAGGTAAGGGTCCAGCGTTCCGGGGGTTTAAGTTTAAGGCTAGGGTCCAGGGTTTCCGGGGGGGTTAGTTGGAGGGCGCTTCAGGTTTTAGGCGTAGTTACCGGTTGATGAATCTTTGGGACGTCAGCACTTGGTTGCAGCTAGCCAAGCTGGTAACGGAGCGATAAGACGCCTAGGACAATTCCAGAACCTATGGACCTTAAATTCTGCTCCTTCAAAACCTGACATCCTGAAGCTGCAGCAACCCCAAACACTGGAACCCGATTCCGAAACCGGTTCTATGTCCCATTTGAGTTTACACACTCTTGGAACATCCGAATGCATAACTGAAGCTCTGCACATAACTTTGTTGAAATGCTTGGCTTTTTATATCAACACATCTGGTTCGGCAGTCAAAGGTCATCGAGGCATTCCAGCTCCCGAGAACTAGTTAGCTGAGTAACAAACCTACAGCGACACACGACGACTACCAACAACAAGTAGTGATGACATAAGAGACACTCAATGATCGGAAAAAAAAAGCAAATGCTAGGATCCCACTCAGGCCCCGTCGCAAGCACACACCTCAAAGACAAAGAAAAGTGGCTAATCAGGGTGGCAACGTAGCCCCGTTGTGGTGGGGACGGCAGGTGTGTTTATCTGGCCCTGCACGCATAGTACAGAGTCGGGAGGTCGGAATAAGTAGCAATGATGTCCACTTGCGTTCATATGCACCGAGACCCCGTCGCACATTCAGGCCCCCAGAATAGAAGCAACCCTGCATGCTCTGCACAGCTTGAATGCATGCCAGCGAGGCTATTGACTGTCCTGGTGGAGGGGAGAAGCCATCAGCACCTGGTATGCTAACCCGTAACCAGCCCCTGAATCCAAGCACGCTGACTGGACTGGACCCCTAAATGCCCAAAAACCACCTTCAACACGCGAACGCTTGACCCCAAGCGATCCTAACACAGAAACACTACATCCTAAACCTTTTGGATGTGGAGACAAGGGCTGCGGGCTTGGAGGCTCAAGCCTCAAACCGAAACCCCGAATCTCTCAAACCCCTAGATCTTGTTGCAGCTGCCGAAACGGGAGCTTCGGAGCCACTATCATAAAACCTTGATCCTTAGTAGGGCCTCTTCTCTATCGCCGGCTCTGAAGCTTCATGCCCCTTGCTTCCGCAATGCCAGGCAGAGAATCTCAATAGGAGCTACCCATGGGCCGCATCGTAGTTCCTTTTTGGGGTTACCTTATAGGATTCTATATAGGTGGTTGTCAAAATTAGGGTCCCTTTTGGGGTACCCTAAATAATAGGTGCCGTATCAAAATAAGGACCCAAAAGGGGACCATAATTTTGACAACCACCCATATATGAACCCCAAAACGGAACTACTTTAGGGCCTATGGGAAGAGCCCTTTCAAGCCCGGAGCCCCATGAGCATAAACCGCGAGGATCTGAGACCTCAACGGAATGGTAACTTTTGGATTGGGTTTAGGGTTTAGGGTTTAGGGGTTTAGGGTTTAGGGGTTCAGGGGTTTAGGGTTTAGGAGTTTATGGGTTTAGGGTTTAGGGGTTTAGGGCTTAGGGATTGGATGCCCAATATGAATACGACCTCGACACAAAGCCAAAACACACCCGAACCCTGAGGATCGGACATTGGATCTCGCAGATGGCTCCCGAGGGACGGCCGCTACAGCCCAGGATCTTAGCGGTTTAGGGTTTAGGGAAAGAGAGGGTTTAGGGTTTAGGGTTTTAGGGTTTTAGGGTTTAGGGTTTAGGGTTTAGGGTTTCGGGTTTAGGGCTTCGCAGAACTAAATGCCCTGAAGAATCAGGGGGGGATTCCGGGTGTTGATCGTGCTCTTGGTGGGGTTTACTTCCACCAGGGCAGAAACACAAGAGGCCCCAACAAAACCAAAGCCTGAACCCTCAAACCTTCAAGTCGCAATGTTTGAGTGACCCATCTCTTGAGACCCTCAACCCTGCCACGCGTGGCTGCACGCGACCGAGGTATGGGCCGGCAGAGCATTGGCAACGAAGGGCGGCTCATAGCAAAGCTTGATGCAGGATGCATTGCTGAAGACTCCGTCCTTGCGGGAGTTTCCGAAAACAAGGGTGCCTTATTTTTGGGGTCCTTATAATAGGGATCCCTACTATTTAGGGTGCTATATTAGGCTCCCCTATTTCGCTGTGGGTTTCAGAGCTGCGGAAGGGGTGAGAAGTGCAAGAAGCAAAAATAGGCGGAATATTTCTATAAGTCCAAGGACCGAAGATATTGAAACGAACAGCAAGAGCAAGGATGGTAGCAATGTCCGTGCTTGCTTTTTAAACATTTTCGGGGATTTAGGGAGGGCGGCAAGCATGTAGGGATCTCATACCTCATCGGCCCGGGGTTCGCGATTTGGGTTGGCGGTTTGGGCGTAGGCCCATAACCTTTTAGCTTGAGAGGGAAAGACATGAGGGAGTTCCGAACATTAGGGGTACCCTTTTGGGGGGTCCCTATGATAAGGATCTTACTATTTAGGGTACTATGTTGCATAGGGTCTCTTATGTTCGGAAACCCCCAAGTAAAGCAGGCCCACAAAGCTCTACTGGGAGTTAAGGACGGCGGCATTCAGCAAGTCCGGATTCGGTCTCATACTGTAAGCAACAAAGGAAGAGATCTAAGCTGGGAAAAGACAAAGCAGCCCAACCAAATAGGAGCTGCAAGTGTCCGGATGTTGATCCCCGGTTGAAGTTGCTGGTTAAACTCGAATACACATACACACACACACACACACACAGACACAGACACACACACACACACCTATAATACACATGTCCCAAAACAACCTCGTTTCGGTCTAAGCTTCCCTAACTGAACCATAAACCGCCAAAGGACCGGTCAGTGCTGGGCACCCGGCATTGCACACCAAGTCCCCGCTCTTCACATGTCCTTTTGGATCTGAGCTTGAAGCCGGAGAAAAGCCAAAGCCGCGATATTGCCGGATTTTGGACGATGTTTGGTTTATCACTCGAATGATTTGGGACACTTTCGGAGTGAAGCGGCGTGGGGAACAAAAAAGGGTCACAAGGGAAAGGGCTCTCGGTTCAAGGCTTGCAGTGTAGGCTCAAAGCTCGGGCTTCTGGCTGTAGAAACCCCCAGCAAGTTCCCAGATCTCCCAGGGGCGAGGACACCGTACTCCACCGCGCATGCAATCCAACAAACATGTGTAGAACAACGACGCTCGAACACTCAAATGGGTCCAGAAACAAGTCTACAAACGAAGAGTGTCACCGCTAAACCTTGCAACCTATGTATATGCAAAGGCCATTAAGCGTGCACACACACACACACACGTATGTCTATGTATATATGAAACTATGCATGTATGTATATATATATATATGTATAAATAAATAAATATATATATATATATGTATGTATGCATATGTATGTATGCATATGCATGTATGCATGTGTATGTATGCATATGTATGTATGCATATGTATGTATGCATAGGTATGTATGAATATGTATGTATGTATGTATGTATGTATGTATGAATGAATGTATGTATGAATGAATGAATGTATGAATGTATGTATGTATGTATGTATGTATGTATGCACGCATGCACGCATGCACGCACGCAGGCACACAGGCACGCAGGCAC